CCCCCGGTGCCCAGGGAGGGCTCCACCGGCTACCCGGGAGGGCTCCCGCTCTGCCCCACACCGACCCCCGGGACCACCGTGGCAGCCGGCAGCCCTTAAAATGCCAGGGGATGTTCAACGCTTCGTGTGCCAGCGGTGGCTGTCCCCTCCGGCGAGGACGGTACTGGGAGAGCTGTCTGGGGGAGAGGGGTCAGATCTGACCCAGCACCGCAAGGTGCCACAACCCAACACAAAAGGGTTTTTCCCAGAGCGGAATTAAAAAAAAAAACCACAACTGAAAATCTGCGTGGATTTCTGCAATCCTTACCTGTCTACTAAAAGAAGCTTTCACTCTGCGAAAGAACAAGAAAAGTATTTTTGAGAATTTACTGAGTACACGTGGCATGCTCTTGGGGTATTTCTGAAACAAGTCAATGATTTCCTGATTTATGAAAAATGTAAATGATTTCCTGGGGAAGAGCAAGCGAGCGTACACATGGTAGCAGAAATAGCAGCGCTCTGTGTGCCGACTACATCGGATATATTGTCTGATGACCTACCTCAATGATAGAAGCAAATACTAAAATTTTAAAATCTTACTAAAAATGTCGTTACCTTCAGTTACTATTGTAAGGTAGCAATGAGTCTAATCTACAGAAACCCATGCTCATAGAGAAAGAGCTCGAGAAATTTGGCCTCAGCCCAGAGGGGCTGTGTTATCTGCAGGGAGACCTTCTGGTGGTGTCCCAGGGTTTTCAGCTGGTGTGCCAAAAACCCAGGAGCACAGCAGGGAAACGTTTCCAGCATAGCTGTGGGAACTGCTACTGCTCGTTCCAAGAGAAAACCTTTAGTGCTAAGTTCTGGTTTAATTTCTCCTGACTTTGCTCTGTATTCATTTGTTTCTTCTGTTTCTGTCTCTATGTCTCTATGCTGCTCTTTTACCCTGCCTTCTGTTAAAAAAACCCCAACCAAACCCAAAGACCAGGACTTATGTTACCAGCATCTCCACAGAAAGTACTTTTCCTCTTCCTTCCAGCTCTGAACACTTTTATCTCTTCTTGTTTACTGTCTTTATTTTCTGTTCTTTTTAGGAACATGTGCTTCCTAAACTTACACATCTGTATTTTAAGACATGCAGTAAATAAGTAGTGCATAAAAAGAAACTGGGAGGGATAATTCATGGAAACTGGAGTTGTAGTCCAAAAGGCACAGCTTGCTCAGGAGTGGGCATCTGGAAATTTCCACTGTAGGTGATGCCTGTCTATAGAGTAGATGGTACTCAAGCTCTGTTCTGCCCTATTCTCTAGTTCACTCTCTGCCCTTCCTCTATTTTTCCACCTTTCCTGCAGTCAGCATGTGTAAAACAACCCATCTCCAAAAATACATTTTTCATCATGGGATCATCTTTGCTTTCTTCCATTCCAGGTGAAAGCATTGAACAAGTAGCCGTGAATCTCACTGCTGAAGTAGGCTCTATTCAGATCAGGAATGGTTCCATCATGATCGCCTCTGATGGCCTCTACCTAGTGTCCTTGAAGGGTAGTGTCCTTTTCAATGACCCGGATGCACTGAAGCTGACACTGCAGAAGACGGACAACAAGACCAGCAAAGTCCTCTGGGAGCAAACTGTTCAGGATAGCGGCGATGCAGTAAACTTCACCACAGTGCTCTACTTGTTTACTCAAGATAACATCACCCTGTGGACCAGCTCCAATGCCACCATTGCGGATTTGTCCTTTAGCCTTGTGTTACTAAGTCCCCTTCATTTGCTCGCTGTAGAAGATGGCGTATGAAGTGGAACAAGTAAAGTACAGCCTTTCCTACCAATCCATTTGTATGCGGGAGGCTTGTTCTCACAGGCTGTACTTATACAAGCAGACTGCTCTAGCCTCCCTCCTTGGGGCTGCGGAAAGCCTCAGCTGGAGTGCAGATAAATCACAGTGCAAACAGGCTTCATATAGTGCATGCCGTGTTCATCTCTTTGGAGCTCTGTGCAGCTGTTTTGCTACCTAGGATGGATCTTTCTAACACTGGAGAAAGGGATGCGTGGAGCTCTTGAGGAGAACAGAAATGAAAGCCAAAGAAAATCACCTAAGCTTAGCTCATATTCAGAGAAACCCTGGGTTTCTCTATTTACTTGACAATATCTGTATATAGTACAAATGCGCTGTATATTTGCTAAAATAAAAGTCTGGTAAATCAGGAAGATACCTCAAGTGTCTTGAAGCCCTTTGGAGAAGGAGGAGAACAGATCTGCTCAACAGCCTTTTGCCTGGCAAGGCAGGAGACAGGGAAGAGGTGGCAAGGGACTTCCTTTGGAGTGATCCAGATAAATGCTCTCTGAAAGGCAAAGGCCACAAAAGGAAGGTGGTATTTTGAAATGAGCTAACAGGACTGCCCTGGACAGCAGAAACACAGGTCCTGCAGCGACGATGTGGTTTTTAGGAGCAACTTTTAAGAGCGGAGGCCCACTGGCTGTTCCAGCTGTCTTGCAGACTACTGAAGCCTGAGCCAAGGGAGTATCTGGTTGAACAGTTATATCTTGACACCAGCTCTTGGAGGTGTTGAGTTGAAGGAGAATCTCCTTTAAGCACACACACACAGACTGGCTCAACCCAAAAATGATGCAGGCACATAAAAATTTGGAAAAACATGAAGACTCTGGATTTGGTGGGTTCTCTCTAATGGATCAAGTGAAACCTGCAGGTCTGCGCATCTTTTCCTCTGGGAGGACTCAGATGGTTCCTGCGAGCCTCACAGTAAACCCCGTCATACAGGTGTGCACCACAGAGAGATTCACAGGTACAACCCCCACGATGCGACTGTGTACCCACACACACCCTGCCTGGCTC